GCAAGAGGTAATTCACCACGCTGAGTCGAGTGGCAATGTTTATTTTTCGATCCAAAATACATTAACGCTATAATTTTAATATTCCTCAAATTATGACTCCAGCCGCTAGATGGCGCCAGAACGTGAAATTTCAGGATTATTAAAATTATAGCATTAATGTATTTTGGATCGAAAAATAAACATTGCCACTCGACTCAGCGTGGTGAATTACCTCTTCCAAGGTCGTTTTCCGAACGATTCTACTTGAATTGACCGAAATCGGGGATCTCAGCAAAACCCGTATAACTCCTGAACTAAATGAGATGGAAAGTTGGGCCTTGCTTAGTTCAAAAGAGACCTTCTTTCTACCAAATGGTCATGACAGAATCCATAACTATAGCAGAATTGCGTTCAAAATACTGTTTGCAAAATGTCCGTTGTGATTTCATCTGATTGGTCCATTATGAACCAATTAAATTTTTGCATTGAAATCTGGCCCCAACATTTCTCTGTCCAATGGTGAAAAGCGCATTTCTCTATCATGTTCCGTTCAGAAGTTATTAAAAAAACACTAAGGTCTCTTTTGTTTTGAAACGGATAATAGTTTAGAATCATTTTTTTTCTCCAAAAATATTACGAAAATATAGATCTTATCGATAATACATTTTTCTCACAGTTCAATTAATCATTTTGTTAAAAGACATAGCTTATTGTTTTTAAAAATGTCTATCACTAAAATAGAACTTGTCAAGTTTAACATTATTTCATTATCACTTCATTCGATGAGTCATTGTTTAATAAAAAGTGTTAATCTCATATGAAGTTTATTCTTGTACTACTATCGCTTTTACTTTTTCTCGTTCATCGTTCCATTAATAGTACTGTTTGTCGATGGTGAGGTATCAACATATATATCGAATAAATAATCAGAAGATATATTTATATAATTATAGGTCACCAATTCAATGTGGTTGTGCATTTTATCAACCAATAATACGTGCTCGTATTGTTGGTGGTATTGAAAGTATACCACATTCATGGTAGATTATATGAACAAAATTAATTTTCATATATTATCGTGATGTTATTTTAGGCCATGGATTGTTAGTATTCGATTAGCTTCAACAAATTCTCCTTTTTGTGGTACATATTTAGATCTATTAATTAGTTTTCAATTTCTTTTTGTGCTTATATTATATTTAGGTGGTTCACTTATCACTGATCGATATGTTCTTACAGCTGCTCATGTATTTATATAATTCTATTTATAAGATGATGAATCTTATTTGATCTATTTAGTGTTTTTATGATGAATTAAAAAAGACTGGTGGTAAAACGACTGCAGCAATCAGATCTAAATATATCATTGTAATTGGTGCTCATTATTCAACAGAAAAAAATACATATTTAAATAGTCATTTACGTATACCAGCAAATTTAATTATAATACATCCACAATATGATACAAATACAAAAGTCAATGATATTGCTCTTATTGAATTAAGTAGATCAGTAGATTTAGCTGATAAAACAATTGGTTTTATATGTTTACCTATGACTACATTACGTTATCCAAAATTATTTCCTTCTGATCAAGCAAATGCTGTAATGTTTCAAATGTATTACTTTCTTCTTTCTTTATACAAATATCTTCAGATTGCTATTGGATGGGGACGTGTACGTGAAGGTTCTTTGGGTCGCGCTAGTAATGTACTTTTACAAGTTGAATTACCTATTCAATCACCTTATATTCGACCATCAGATTGCGCTGATCAAGTCTATGATCCAGAAAAACAATTTTGTGCTGGTGTTACTCAAGGCGGAAAGGATACTTGTCAAGGCGATAGGTATCTTTTCATATAAAACAGTTCTTCTTTTTTTTTTTTTGTATTGATCAATATATATTTCTAGTGGTGGACCATTGATGTTGACTTATAATCATACATGGCAAATTGTTGGAATTACTAGTTATGGTGAGGGTTGTGCACGAGCTCGTAAACCAGGTAAGTTAAGCTCATTAAATCCTAAAGACGACTAAAAGATTTCGATTACAGAACGGGATATTTGTAGGCTTGTAGTAAAGACTTTCTCTAGAAGCCTAAATGTATCCGATTCTGTAGTCAAAAATCATTGAAAAACTTCTAGCTGCCTTTAATAGACTATTTTCAATCATTTTTAGGTGTGTATACTCGTATAAGTGTTTATCGCGATTGGATCAATTATACAATAAGCAAAAATATATTGAATTATGAAACACAACTTTTTAATATACCAAATAATATTGATATGAGTAATGATCTAGAAATTTGGTGGGATAGAGAAGTTAATAGTAATGCTGTATGCTATGTAATACCGATTACTAGTGTGTTACTTTTGTGTTTATTAGATGCATTTATTTTATTGTATCAATAACTGAAAAAAATCAACGATTAAAATATTCGATTAAGAACTGTAGCAAAAAAAAAAAAAAGAATCATCTATAATTTATAAATTTATTGCGAGAACTGAACTCGATTATTTCACTCAAACAGTGGTGATCCGATTGGGAATGTACGTCTTTCAGTTATTGTAACAGAGATCAGACATCAGTCAAGAAATATAAAAAAAATTATAAAGTATCATTTTTTTCCATTTAGCAACTGTAAATGACCAATCATCTACATATTCCATTACATATCTAAGATCATCGTAAAATCGTTTATCTCTTATGAAGATGAATTGTAATGATTTTGCGCTTGCAACGAGATGAGTATATAGACTTTTTTCCGAATTTGATAATGTTCACCAGTTATTGTAATCTATTGATCGTTCGAATTTTCGCTGAACATTCGATAAATGAACATATCCAATGTTTTGTATACGTTATTGTTTTGTTCAATTTGAATATGTATTTACATATCTTACACAAACAAACTTATTTTTTTCTTTCTATGACTGAATAAATGAAATAACTGACGATGATGACTGATTTACATTTAATGAAAATGAAGCAGCGGTGGTCACGATAATAATGATTATAATACAAGAATACTACAATAAGGAAAAAAATAATAATAGACTTTTTTCAGTATTTTCCATTTGTGACATCTTTCCTTTATACACGTGTTACGAAGAGTAGTCATTTTGGGCAACAAAAGCTGTTAGGAAATACTAGATATAGGAAAAGAGAATGTTTGCTTAGCTTAACAATGATTCTTGCTTCATGAAATAGTTTCAGCTATACACTACTATAGTTAATTTTTGTAAACTTATAACATAATTTTGGGAAATTTTGAAACTCTTTTGAATTCGATATGAAATCAAGTTTCTTTCTCAAATGACTAGAAGACGAAATTGACTTCGTTACATTCTGTAAAAAAATTTTTTTTTTTTTAGTCGAAAAGGATAAAGATGGATAAGACCATTTCCTTGCTTTCCATAGATTTGAAATTTTTCTATTGGAATCGAGTCGGGTATGGTCTCTGATTATATTTCGTGATACATGACATGGCGGCTTTTGATCTCACAGATTTTCCAAAAAGCTTTTTTTTCTGCATTTCAATTGCAACATATCTAGGAATACCTATTTCAGTATGTTGATCTCTCTGACTGAACTTCGCTGTCATTAAGCCTAAACTGCCAGTAAATTGTAGTAAGGAAAAAGCTTTTTCTTATATGAAATTCCGAGATGTATCTGATTCTTAACTAAAAATGATCAGTTAAAGTCAATTTAAAAGGCAACCTAGCGGTTTTGGACTAAAATGTGATTTTTGCTGTCTATTATTGCAAATAAGATTCATCTAAACATTTGTTTTTTCTTTGTTCAACAATTATTGTATTTCATTATTTTAGAGTGAGTAGTACGTAAGATAAGAATTTTTTTATGTCTTGAAAAGTTTCTTATTATTACTATTAATCCATTTTATAAAAATTTTGTACAAACATGGACTGATAAAAGTCAATAACTAGACAAAGACCTGAGAGAAATATTTTCTATTGAAATATCATAATAATGCTTTGTTCCTTGTTAGTCAATTTTACTGTGAATGATATTAACCCTTTACCCCCCATAGCGCTTCCAGAAGAGCCACTGATAAAATAACTTTATAAATAGAGTATTAGCCTATTGAATATGCCAATGGTGCGGCCTA